TTGCAGACAGATTCTTTACCATATAAGTCCCTTCAAATTAAAAAAATATATATTTTATTTACTTATTTTTAATTATATATTGTCTCTTCCAGGTCTATTGAAACATAATTGACACACAGCATTGTATAAGTTTAAGGGGTTCAGCATAATCATTTGACTTACGTACATCATGAAATGACTACAATAAGCCTAGTGAACATTCATCACCTCATATATTAACAGATACAAAAGAAAAAAATTTCCTTGTAATTAGAGCTCTTAGAATATATGATCTTAACTACTTACTTTCATATATAACATGCAACTGTACTAATTATATTAATCATCATGTATCTTATATCCCTAGTACTTCCTTATTTGTAAGTGGAAGTTTGCACCTTTGGACCAGCTTCAATCAATTCCCCCTGCTTCTCCCTGACCCAATACTTCCAATCTCTTTTTTCATGAGTTTGTTTATGAAGAATAACTGACCTACAACACTATGTTAGTTCCAGGTACATGACATAGTGATTCAATATTTCTATACATTATAAAATGATCACCATGATAAGTCTAGTTACCATATGTCACCATATAAAGACATTATGTTATTGACTATATTTCCCACACTGCACTTTTCATACCTGTGACTCCTTTATTTTGTAACTGGAAATTTGTACCTCTAAATTCCCCTCACAATAGGAGAATTAACTTAAAATTCTAGAATAATCCTGGTACAATAATTCCAAAGACTTTTGAGAAGATACTCTGTATCAGAGAACAGTACCATTCTTTACATTTTTGGAGGTACAGAAAAAAACCGAATATAAATCCATGTCAAACCATGTGGGAGCAATCCAGAGTTGAAGCTGATGCTGTGACTTGCTCCCAGCAAGCTTGAAGCCAACCATACTAGTAGATATATTCCTTCATTTATCGGGATTTTTTTTGAGTGCCTGCTACTGTATTTGACCGAAACATCCAAGGTAAGATAATGTCCCAGCTGTTGATGAGTGTAGCATCTCACGGGGGAAGGAAACATGAACAAGTATAGAGTCTCTGAGACCCGTACAGGCCAGACCAGCAAAGACTGTGCGCAGGAAGTGGGGCCCATTCCACCCAAGAGGTGGGTGGATGAACGAGCTTGAAGGAGCCTGGCGAGGAGTCGTCGGAAACACACAAGAGAAAAAAGTCAGCTAGTTCCCGCTCCCAGCTTGACCTGCGGGTCAGAGGGGCGCTGCGGATGAGCAAACATCCAAACATTCCAGGGCATCAGGGGAAAGGCCAGTTGGAGACACAGCGAGGGCGTTTCTCCACCTGCCTCCGCGCACAGAATGAGCGCCAATGAGAGAAGGCAGCGCCCGCCAGGCAGCGGGCGCGGGGTGAGGCCCGCGTGGCCGGACCCTCCAGGCCTTCGCCGGCCGGGGGTGCCCGCAGCCCTGTGCCAGGTGCTTGCATGAAAGGCTTAGCGACGACCACTCCGACAGAATGTCCGGTCTCACACGTCTCCCGCCCGTGGGGTCAGCTGCCTTTTGGTTCACGGATGGGAACGGATGAGGGCTGCTTGCCTTTGGAGAGGCCAGTGAAGGCGCTGAGATGCTGTGTTGTGGTCCCGGCTTACTGCCTGGTTCGGGAGACCCCGAGGACAGATGCGTGCCTCCTCTCCCAAGTTGCATTGTGTTCCTTAAAATGGGTGTGTTCGTCGTGGTTGAAGGGAATTGAGGCAGAGTCTTCAGGACTGCATTGCGGGGAGCTGCATCCATCACGTTTGTAGGCAGCCCTGAAATCCATCTGCCCTCACATCACTCTTCCCAGGAGGAATTAGGTTGTGAGTTTCCAGTAGTCAGCTCTAAAACCCAGCCTTTAGGACTACACCTCACTTCTCCACAGGGTCTCCTTTTGTCCGAGCTCCAGAGAGACGTGCAGATGGAGAGAGAGAGAGCTGGACTCTGGCAGTCACTTTGTTCATACCGTACAGGCCATGCCTAGCACGCAGCCTGGGGGTGGAGGGTGGGGGGCAGGAGCTTGGCAGAAATGTGGGGAATGAACAAATCATAGTCATTAGGAACCAGAGAGGAAAACTTCCCGGTGGTAGGTATTTGTGTCTAATCTATTTTGCTGTATATCTTTCAGAATGTTCTAATGCTGAAATGATTTTTCATGTTTTAAACACAGCGCTATCGCATGAAACTTTATTATGAGAAAATACAAAATTAAATGGCTAAGCGAGTTGTGCTTTCTGAGTTAAACCCAGCTAAAGGGAATTTTTTTATATACATATTCTTTTCCATTATGGTTTATTACAGGATATTGACTATATCCCTGGGCTATACAGTAGAATCTTGTTGTTTATCCATCCTATATATAATAATTTGTATCTGCTAACCCCAAACTCCCAATTCCCACGCCCCCTTTCCAGTTGGCAACAAGTCTGTTCTCCCTGAGTCGGTTTTGGTTTCATAGATAAGTTCATTTGTGTCATATTTTAGATGCTACATATAAGTGATATCATATGGTATTTGTCTTCTCTGGCTTTTTTCACTTAGTATGATAATCTCAAGGTCTATCCATATTATTGCAAATGGCATTATTTCATTCTTTTTTTATGGCTGAATAGTATTCCACTGTATATGTACCATATCTTCTTTATCCATTCATCTGTCGATGAACATTTAGGTTGCTTCCATGTCTTGGCTATTGTAAACAGTGTTGCCGTGAACACAGGGTGTATCTTTTTGAATGAGAGCTTCCTCCAGATATATACCCAGGAGTGGGGTTTCTGGATCATGCAGTAGCTCTCTTTTTAGTTTTTTGAGGAACCTCCATCCTGTTCCACAGTGGCTGCACCAATTTATATTCTTTACATTCTCACCAACAGGGAAGGAGGGGGCACTTTTTTTTTTAATAGGCTAGAGAGAGGGCCGGAACAGTCAATCTGTGACCTTGTGCATTAATAGCACACCAAGTCCTTAGAAAACACGAAGATTCTTAAATCCCATAACCAAATCGACAGAACAAATAAGACTGTCTAGATTTAAAAAACGTCAATGGACTATGACAGGGTGAATGAAACAGAGTAGATAACCATTGCATGGACACAAGTGCCCACATGGCAAGAGTCACATGTACTGTGTTTTCAAGGCCCAGGGCCCCGAGGTGTCACAGGTCAATGCAGCCTCTGGTGTGTGCATCTTAGCGATGAACACTTCTCCTGCCGTGTGCTCCTGGCTCCATACTGAGAGTCCTAGTGAGCAAGACGGGGTTAAATCCGTGCAGGACAGGAAGACCAGCATCCTGCTTTGGGAAATTAAATGGCACTAAAATGTGTTCAGGGCATCCCAGGTGGCTCAGGGTAAAGAATCCGCCTGCCAGCGCAGGAGACAAGGGTTTGATCCCTGGGTCGGGAAGATCCCCTGGGGAAGGGAATGGCAACTCGCTCCAGTATTCTTGCCTGGGAAAGCCCATGGACAGAGGAGCCTGGTGGGCTGCAGTCCATGGGGTTGCGAAAAGAGTCGGACACGACCGAGCGACTAAACAACACAGCAAAACGTGTTGGAGGTGCGCTCAGAGCCCAGGGTGGTGCATCCAACACCCAGTGCCCGCGGCATCTGCAGAAGGAACTCTGAGAGAAAGAAAAGGAGAGACTACGGAGGGAAGGAGAGAAGAAAGTGAAGGTACGCTCAGAGCCCAGGGTGGTGCAACTAACACCCAGTGCCCGCGGTATCTGCAGAAGGAACTCTGAGAGAAAGAAAAGGAGAGACTACGGAGGGAAGGAGAGAAGAAAGTGACGTAGACTGGAGAGGCCAGCCCCAGCCAGCGGTCTCTCCCGTGAACCCTCATGGTTGCAGACAGTGCTGATCCACTGGGATTTGTCCTCCCTAGGAAAGCCCTAAGTTTTCCTCAGTGCCTTTTCTACCGCCCAAACTTCCTTGTTCTAGCCTTATTTTCCCAAGTCCTGGCATTTTCCCCAACATCTTGATAGGTGAGTCGCTCCCTTGATAACTCCGTGAGAAGAGGTGTTAATGGCTGATCCTAGGGAGACATCAAACTCTTACAGAGCCCATCTACATTTTAATTATGGCCTTAAATGCCTTAACCCGAAAGGAAAAAACAAAAAACCGGCTAAGGTGAGACACTCAGGCACTACCAGAGGGCCAGTGGGAAAGCTCTCTGGGGCGAAGGTAACAAGCTGCCATGGCCTTCTTTTAAAACCAGCTCATCACAGGGTGGCTGGCATCCACTTGGGTGAGAAGCCAGCTGATACCTAAGTTTTCCAAAACAGAGAGTTGTATATTCTTTGGAAGGTCTCTAGGAAACCATGGTCGCTCACTTCTGGATTTGATTTTCCAACATCAGCAAAGCCAAATGTTTATCCCCAAAGTCCTCCTTTAAAATTTTAACTCATTTCCCTCTGTTTATAGCTCAGTGAAGTTGGAAAACAAGTGGGGAAAACCCATCTCATTAAGCATCCCTTTTACACATGTGAAGATGGTAATTAAGCATCATCCTCTGCGGGTAACCTCAATTTCTCTAGACCGCTCTTAATAAGACCCTGTTTTATTTTGCTTTTAGCACTGTCATAACCTTTCATTGGATTTGCTCTACTCTCTTGCCAGTTTCTCAATGCAAGGGTTTGTGCTTATTTGCTGTTTCACTGGGAAAACCAACAGCCAGACTGCCCACGACCAGTCTGCAGAGCTGCCGTTTCCCTGCAGCACTGTCAGTCACCTCCTAAAAAGAAAATGAAATGAAATCAGTCTTTTTTTTTTTTTTTTTAATTGAACCTCACCTAACTCCTCTAGTAAGAAGACAAAAGCAGAGGAAGATGTCTTGTTTAAATTGTCCGCTATCTTGTACATAGTACTTAACAGGCTATCTTGACAGTAATGGATGCTCATAAAGATACTTGGTGCTGAAGAATGGCTATTTCAGCCCAAACCATCTTTCTCCCTTGGTATATTGTCCCTGTTTTCCAACATTCATCCTCAGCCAGCAGACAAAATGTGGACTCTAAGCAAACACAATTTATGCCCGCTCTTTACTCGGAGCTTAATTTGTTGTCACATTTTTGGGTTAGCTTTTGAAAGCCTAGAGATTACATGTTAGGGATGATTTTTCTTGGACGAAAGCCAGTGCTCTTCCGGATGTCAGTTCCAGAGAAATCGAGACTTTTATCTCCTTGAGCAAGGCTTTTATCACCTCATCAAAGGGCAGCTGTCATCCACTCAGATGAGACGCTTCTGAATAGCTAAGTCCTCCCAAGATGGAGCCGTGGATTCTTTTGAAGGTTCTCTTGAGAAACAGAAACCACAGAAACTGCTTTGGGCAGGAGGTGAAAAAATTAACAGAAATATAATAATGTTGTGTCATTAAAATGATGGTTTTAAGGATCACGGTTTTAGAACTTCAGCCTCCTGGCTGAGCCCCTAACTCTCTTTGCGGGGTGATTCAGGGGTCAAATTCCTGCATATTTACATACAGCCTGAGTCCTGAGAGGCTCTCTTTCACCCTCTAACAGTATTTATGACCCCTAAGCCTTATTCCTTATTTACTTTTTAATACTACATTGTGTTTACTCTAAAAGTAAGATATTCCCAACCACAGCCACAACAGAATAGCCAACTTCAGGAAGCTGACTATTAATACCACGATGTTATACAGTTTCTAAGCCATCTTCTAATATTGTCCACTGTCCCAATAACATCTTAGAGAATGCAGGCCAGGATCACAGCTTGTGTTTTGTTGTCACTTAAGTCTCTTTTATTCTGGAACGTTTTCCCAATCTCTCTTTGTTGTTCAGGACATTGACATTTTTAAGAATGCAGGTCACTTATTTTATAGACATTTCCTCCAGTGGTCTATGTTGGGTGCTTCCTGAGACTTACATTCAGGTAGATTCTGAGGACTCTTCCATGAAAAGCCAGAAATCACAGACTCTTCCAATGGTGTCTCCAATCTCATCTCAGTTCAGCTCAGTCACTCAGTCATGTCCGACATATCAGACTCATGTCCATGGACTGCAGCACGCCAGGCTTTCCTGTCCATCACCAGCTCCCAGAGCTTGCTCAAACTCATGTCCATCGAGTCAGTGATGCCATCCAACCACCTCATCCTCTGTAATCCCCTTCTCCTCCCACCCTCAATTTTGCCCAGCATTGGGGTCTTTTCAAACAAGTCCGTTCTTTGCATCACATGGCCAAAGTATTGGAGTTTCAGCTTCAGCATCAGTCCTCCCAATGAATATTCAGGACTGATTTCATTTAGGATGGACTGGTTGGATCTCCTTGCAGTCCAAGTGTCTCTCAAGAGTCTTCTCCAACACCATAGTTCAAAAGCATCAATTCTTCAGCACTCAAGTTTTCTTTATAGTCCAACTCTCACATCCATACATGATACTGGAAAAACCATGACTTTGACTAGATGGACCTTGTTGGCAAAGTAATGTCTCTGCTTTTTAATATGCTGTCTAGGTTGGCCATAGCTTTTCTTCCAAGGAGCAAGCATCTTTTAACCTCATGGCTGCAGTCACCATCTGCAGTGATTTTGGAGCCCCAAAATAAAGTCTGTCACTGTTTCCATTGTTTCCCCATTTACTTGCCATAAAGTGATGAGAACAGATGCCATGATCTTTGTTTCCTGAATGTTTAGTTTTAAGCCAACCTTTTCACTCTCCTGTTTCACTTTCATCAAGAGGCTCTTTAGTTCTTCTCTGCTTTCTGCCATAAGGGTGGTGTCATCTGCATATCTGAGGTTATTGATATTTTTCCCAGCTATCTTGATTCCAGCTCGTGCTTCATCCAGCCCAGCATTTCACATGATGTACTCTGCATATATGTTAAATAAGCACAGTGACAATATACAGCCTTGACATACTTCTTTCCCAATCTGGAACCAGTCTNCAGTCTATCAGATCTAATCCCTTGAATCTGTTTGTTACTTCCACTGTATAATCATAAGGGATTTGATTTAGGTCATACCTGAATGGTCCAGTGGTTTCCCTATTTTCTTCAACTTAAGTCTGAATTTGGCCATAAGGAGTTCATGATCTGAGCCACAGTCAGCTCCCGGTCTTGTTTTTGTTGACTGTATAGAGCTTCTCCATCTTTGGCTGCAAAGAATATAATCAATCTGATTTAGGTACTGACCATCTGGTGATGGCCATGTGTAGAGTCTTCTCTTATGTTGTTCGAAGAGGGTGTTTGCTGTGACCAGTGCGTTCTCTTGGCAAAACTCTGTTAGCCTTTGCCCTGCTTCATTCTGTACTCCAAGGCCAAATTTGCCTGTTACTCCAGGTATCTCTTGACTTCTACTTTTGCATTCCAGTCCCCTATATGAAAAGGACATCTTTGAATGTTAGTTCTAGAAAGTCTTATAGGTCTTCATAGACTCGTTCAACTTGGCTTCTTCAGCATTACTGGTTGGGGCATAGATTTGGATTACTGTGGATTCTAATCTAAAATGGAATTTATATACTTCACCAACCCTCCACGCCCCACATCCTCAGTACTGGCCCTGGCACTCTCTTTGCCTCCAGCCATTTGCACTTGCTGATACCACCTCTTGGTACCATCTTCCCCTGGATCTTTGCCTGTCTTGCTACCTCACTTCATTCAGGTACATTTAGCCACAAACTGAGTGGTAATCTCAGACTCCAATCCACAGCCTCCTTTCATTGTTTGGAGCCTCCCTTCCTGCCAGACTTCTGAAACCCTGCCTCTCCCTGTCTCCTACCCCTAGGATATATCAATACATGTGTATACAACACTGATTCCTAATTTGCTCTTGGAAAGGATACTGGGGTCTCTTCATTGTCAATTTTGTAGGTGAAGCCTGTATTTAGAGCACTATTAATTTAGGTGAGGGTGACATCTAGTGGGCCAGTGATGACAGTCTTTGAGCTAAAAGTTCTTGATTAACCCCAGAGATCCTGGGAGGAGCATAACAAAAGGTATAAATATAAACATGAAACTAGTGTACTCTGTCACCAAGTGGTGGTAATGATTCACTATCTGTGAATGAAGTGTTCTCACCTTCATTTTTCCCAGCTGCTTAATTGTCCCAACCTCATTCATTCAATAATGTACTTTTCCCCCAGTGATTTAAAAATACCACTTTTACTATACACTATATTCCTTTGTGTTTTTGAGTAACAGTATATTTTTGTTATCTGTCCATGTTGATATATAGAGATGGGAAGATTTAAAAAGATGTTTTGTTTTATCTAAGGTGTGATGACTATGGCCCCACTTTCCGTTCCTGCTGACTCCTTTTTTTTTTTCTTCAATAAAACCCCCTCATGACGTGTGCCCTGTTTTCACTTTCTCTCATTCCATTTCCCCCTGAGCCCCATCAATCAGGCCTTTGCACCCAACAGGTCACCGATGATGCCGGCTCTGGTTTGTCCAGCATTGTCCGGGACAAACCTGTTGACCTGGCTTAGTGATTATGAACTGGGTTCCCTTTCACTCTCAAAAGTGTTCTGGTTTGAGTGATAAATTATCATCTTCCTACTGCGACGACTAACGCAGTCCACTCTGCCCTGACTCACCCGTGGTTAACACTTTCTCTAATGGCCTGTGTTATCTGTGGTTTCTCTGTCTTTCCTAAGGGCGGGAAGAGTCTCTCATGAGGCCACAGCTCAGTGATTAATTTCATAAAACTTCCCCAGAAGCAATACTTTTATCTCATCTACTGTCCCTATTGCAGTTTTGTCTGTTGACCTAATAATTTCCCATATAGCATTTCTGTCTTCCCACCCACACCCCTATGTCAAGTATAGGGTCGGGCCTGAGGCCAGACACTGAATTTACTTGTCTAACCTAGAATATTTCTTTGTCTTTTATAGCATTGACGCTTTTAGTCTTCCCCTACTTTTCCCCAGAACATTCTGTCTCTCCTGTGACTCACAGTCACCCTTTGATCACAGAGCTCACCACTTCGGCGGGGGCTGAAGAGAAACCGACGGCTACCTTCCCTTCTTAGTCTTCCCAGAGAACCGGGGTCCAGGGTCCCTGCAGGAATCCGGGCAGCGGGGTGGGCGACAGAGAAGGAAGGCTGGGCGCTGCTGATGCGCTGACTCTGGGGCCCTACTCTTTCCCTGCCCATGCCACCTTGCTTTGTTCTAGAAAGCCCTTGGCGTGGCCCCGGGCTGTCCTCAACTCTTGGCCAGAGGGATAGACGCGGTGGGTTCCGGAGGTCTGACGGGAGCCTCCTCAAAGTCTTGCCGTCACAAAAGGCGTCACGGCGTCAGAAAAGGCGTCATGGCGTCACAAAAGGCGTCACGGCGCCAGAAAAGGCGTCATGGCGTCACAAAAGGCGTCGCGGCGTCCGGAAAGCCATCATGGGGGCTCGCTCCATCGGCTGTCCCTTTTTCCCTCCCTCCGGCCCTTCCCCAGCCGCCCGGGCTTCACCGGTCACTATCCTCCTCCGCGTCACCCAAGTCATTCCAGGTGCCTCCAGGAACACAGGGACCACCTGTTGAGAAACATGGCTCTTAGGAGCTGCCGGCCCCTCTCTCTTCAAGACCTCCCTGGACTGCTGTTTCCCAAGTCAGACTCAGGAACCTTGGACCAAATGGCACGATGCTGTTTCCTCAACTTCATTCTCACACCAGGGCCCCAAACTATCCGTGCCCCATTCAGATAAGAGAAATACCCCCGGCAACCGGGCTTCCCAGGGAGCCCCGGTAAGTCGCTGGTAAGTCCCTCACTGCTGTACTTGGCCTCATGGAAGAAATGTTGGCAAGGGTCTCCATCCGTGAACTGCTCCCAGCGTGGCTCCCGCTCAGCTTAGCTTGTTTGGAGCAAGGCTTATGGGGTCTGCTTCAGCTTCTGCCTATCCGACCGTTCCAGGAGTCCCCACCTGTACTCCTGGGCTATCCCCACACCCCGTCCTTGCCTCCCATTGACTCTTTTCTGGCTTGACTCCTGCCTTCTCAGATGAACGCTTGCTGATTCCCCACTCACCAGAGCCCTCAGGACCTCCGGACCCCCGACCAACCCACCCACTTGTTTTTCATTTTGGGGGCTGCACCCAGCACAGCTTGTGGGAGTTTAGTCCTCCAAGCAGGAGTCAAACCCAGGGCATTAGACAGTGAGAGCTTGGAGCCGTAACCACTGGACTGCCAGGGAATTCCTGCATTTCTTTTCTAAATATTAATTGACAAGAGACGGACACAGCTAAAACCACTTCAGCTCGGCAGGGAGAGGCCCCTGCCTTGCCCTGACGAGTCGCTGCCCCCTGGAGCCCTGACTCAGCAGAAGGTTTCACCACAGAGAGCCGGGAAAGACTGAAAGAAGATGTTTCCAGGAACCATCCTCTCTTCGTCAAAATCCCAAGGCTCTGTCGTGACTAGGAAACCTTTGTCTTCTGCCAGAGCACATGCTCTGGCCATGGCTTTGTTCTATGCAACACTAGGCCTCGGGCTAAGGAAAGCATGCCACTTCCCCGCCCAGGGGGTCCCTCCATCAGGAGCAAACGATTTGCTGCTCACCAGATGAAACATGGACTTTTCTCTTTTGAAGGTTTGAGAAAAATCAAAGAAAGAGAGAAATTAATGGATCAAAGAGCTTGGGCAACAAACTGAGCAAAGACCTGAACTTTCCAAAAGCATGTTTAAACATTTTGTCTAAAACAAAAAAATCTTCCCAAAGTTTATAAATTGTGCCCAGCTATCAGATCCTGCTTTAACCTGAGAGAAGTACTTCTAGCCTTGTGACTGAGTTTGTGTGCCTGTGGTCAAATGGATTTGGAGTGGAAACTTTTTTTTTTGTCATCTGGCTTATTGTTGTTTCTTTCCAAGGCCACACTATTTGTCTAGGCCATGGGATTACTCAACCAATCAAATATTTATTGAGTAACTAGACAACCATTGGAAAACTTGGACTATATTGTGTTTCCTACTATCTACTTTCAAGTCTTGAGGCAATTGAGATCGCCAATGCTGGTCTTTTGGAGCTTAGAAAAGAGTCACTTGGTCAAAAAAGGAGGGAAACATATACACAGAAAGAAATACACTCCTGTGACATTTGGCAAATAAAATATCCATACATTCAGTTGCCCTATTCCTGTATCTATTTATGAATGTTTCTTTTCATTTTAGCTGTAGTATGTTAACCATGCCAATGACATCCACTTGAAACTGGGTATTAAATTTTGGTCTCCTTAGTTTACCATAGGAGCAGGTCCTTAAAGACATTCAGTCAGTTCAGTCACTTAGTCGTGTCCGACTCTTTGTGATCCCGTGGACTGCAGCATGCCAGGCTTCCCTGTCCATCACCAACTCCTAGAACTTGCTCAAACTCTTGTCCATCGAGTCGGTGATGCCATCCAACCATCTCATCCTCTGTCGTCCTCTTCTCCTCCCGCCTTCAGTCTTTTCCAGCATCGGGGTCTTTTCCAGTGAGTTCTTTGCATCACGTGACCAAAGTATTGCAGCTTCAGCTTCAGCATCAGACCTTCCAATGAATATTCAGGACTGATTTCCTTTAGAACTGGCTGGTTTGATCTCCATGCAGTCCAAGGGACTCTCGAGAGTTTTCTTCAGCACCACAGTTGAAAAGCATCAATTCTTCGGCACTCAGCTTTCTTTATAGTCCAACTCTCACATCTATATATAAATAATAATATATGTGTGTTGGGAGAAAAGGATATACACACATATCTCTATTAGATGGGTGTGGAGAGAGTCACTCAGGCTATTTACCAATCTTTCTGGGGACATGTGGAGATTTCACTTCTCTGCACACTTGAAGTTAGGGTTGGCCATCTGAGTGGCCAATGAAACACAAAAATTGGTACATAGAAGTGGGCTGCTGCTATAGCAAAGATCGAAAACAAATGACGTAAGGGCCAGGAGGTGGGTTGCAAGGACACTGGACCTGCAGCAAACTGCAGTGTAGATTTTACTTTTTTTAATTTTTATCAAAGTTATTTTAAATATAATTTTAAAGGTTACTCTCCATTTACAGTTATTACAAAATGTTGACTGTATTCTCCATGCCGTACACTATATCCCGGAGCCAATCATAGGCCCAGCAATCACCTCCTTACAGGATACCACAGATGCCTCATGCTCTCAGTCTAGTAACATCTTTTTCTTACCTTCTTGACAGTTGTACTATGTCAATATACAACAATATATTCAATTTTTTTTTAAACTCACCTATCCTAAGATAGTAAACAATATTTCTAACATATGAGAGAAGACTTGTCTTTTTTAAATAGGAAAAGGAGAGCTGTGCTGAAGTATTTGGTGAGAATTAAATTACTGCTGTTGAACACCGCATCAGCTCCTGGCATGGGTTATGCAGGTACTGTTGCTTGATAACAACCAGTTACACGCTCACCTAGGAAAGAAGCCTTTTCCAGACTCTTTAGGGACGGGTGACGTGGTCCACAGGCTCTACAGTGTGTGTGGTTTTACAAAAGATAAACAGTCTTCAAATCAATCCTGGACTTCTGCAACGTTCAAGGACATAACATTCATTTTAATTCTCTGAGAGTTAATGTGTGAGAAGTGAAGATAATCAAGTTGAGGATTGTTGCTTTCTGATGATCTAATTTGCTTTGGGAATAGGGCTTACACATTGTAGAGAAACGGAGAATGAACAGATTTCCTTCAAATCCCAGATGTGCAAGGCAGACTTGATAAGTGTTGAAATGCAACTGGGTAGTGATGGGATTCCTCAACAAATGCCAGAAACGGTGCATCCTCATCGTCTTCTCTTCTGTTAATATTGTCTCTTCAACTTGGAATGTTCTCTTTTTCTCCAACTGCCAAAAATCCCTCTTGTTTTTCCAGGTCTAGTTAAAATGCTAATCCTTCCTGAAACATTTGATAGAGGCAATAATGATAATGTAATAGATTACATTTTTAGTTAGAAGTACTAGTTACAAAATATTTAGGCTTTGCCAGACACTGGGTTAATTAATGTTTCGGGTGATTATCTCACTTCTTATTGTATGCTTATGTTTTGAAACTGTTCTTCTCCGAATTAGTCATTCATTGGCTTAGAATTCTATGATTACAGAAATGCTCCATCTTGTCTTTGCAGCATTTATACCTGGGTTTGATTCCCAACTCAAAAACTCACTAGACTAGCTGTGTGATCTTGAACAAGTTATTTAACTTTTCTAAACCTACATGTTAAGGATTAAAAGAACTGAAATGTTGTGAGTATAGCTGTGGTCCTGGGGTGGTCCATCTTTTACAAGCCAGGACGCCCTTTGCCTCCCTCTTATGCCAAAGCCCATGTAATCTTGGGTCTTGGCTTACTCTTTTATTTTGGTAGAATACATCCTCCAGATGCTCTTTGAGAAAGTAAACATGAGCCAGAAGGCTGTGTTTGTGAGGCCTCAGTTTGTGTCTGCAGTTTTATTTGACTGCTTCTTTGAGGTGCCTGGTGTCTCCTCTTCCTGACCTTTTCCAGGTTCATCTACATTAATCAGCTTGTTTCTAGGTTTTCCCCTCTGCCAAAGGAGGTCCTAATGGTGTTTGGTTTCCCAAGTCAGTTCCTATTTAGTTCCAGCACAGTTCCCTGGGCTTTCCCGCCTTCTGAGATTGTGTCGTCTTCTCTTCACAGTCTCTGCTTTTGTGAGGTTATGCTTCTCTTTAAGTCCATCTATCATAATGCAGTTCTGTTTGGATTTTAACAGGAACACAGATGCCCACAAGTATTCAGCCCACTACGTTTGATCAGACATGGGAGCTTGTTATTTTAGCATGAGGCTTTAGAGGGACAGCTAGAGCTCGAGAAGGTCATACTTCTTTTACAGAAAGGCTGGAATATAGAAAGAGAAGTTGGGGAGGGGAAGCAGGGCCTCTCATTTGGGACAAGTTGATGTTGAAGTGCCTCAAGGACATTGAAATAGTGATTTCTTGGAGACCTTTGGCTAGAAGAGCCTGGAGCTTAGGAGATAAGTCTGGGTTAGATAAGGATATCTGTAAGCTGTCAGTAGGGAGGAGACAGAGGGCAAAGTGTGAAGAGAGCAAAGAATGGAGGGCAGAGAATCAGTAAAACAGCAGATAAAAGGGAGCATTTTGTAAAGACTAGATCATGACTCAGGATTTTGTTTTGCTACTTTCCAGTTTCTGGGATTAAAAACATACATTTTAAAGCAGAGTTTCAAACTCTCCTCATTTTTCAAATAGACTATTTTTTTGGAGCAATTTTGGGTTCACAGCAAAATTGAGCAAAAAAGTACAGAGAGTTCTTCCCATAATCCCCCCCCCCCCACACCCAACCTCGCCATGTCAACATCCCCTTCTGGAGAGCAACGTTTATGAGAACCAAC